AGCGGAATTTATTTCAGACCCGCTCCAGGGCCAGAGCAACCCGGTGGCAGCACGCCCCTAGCCACCACGCAGCCCAAGGCACCTTTTGCAGCAGCTGGAGGAGCACCGAGGGGCTGCTACAGCTTTGGTTGAACTTTCCATGCTCATCGTCAGCATTTTCTTTAGCTGTTTTCCCTCCTCATGCCTTCATCTTCACTCCACATGGCTCTTACTACTGCTTCTCTACCCTCACTTCCACCCCTTGCTTAAAGGTGGGTTCCCTACGCAAGCCCACTGCGTTATACATAATCACAACACAAAGATAATCCGCCGGTTACTCCTAGCAGATCCTTCTGTGAGAGTGCTAGCCTCACCTATTCAGCTTACAGCCTTTTACAGCGAGGACAACCTTGCATTACGTTTGCATGGTGGACTGGATACATGGTCCTGGTTAGGTCTCAAAACACTGCTTTACAAAATAATTTTTAAAGCATATAAGCTATTCATATTATCGGAATAAGATGAATTTTAAGTTTGTCATGAGAAACGCAAAAAGCATTCAGAGAAGGATTTGTAGAATACTATTGCTCTTCAGGGGTCCAGTTCAAGTGAAATGAAAACCGTCTCTTGTATGCATCAATTCGTGCCTGGACTAAGAGACAAGGAACTAAGAGGTTTTATCATTGTCTCTACTTACATTTCTGGTGCCCATACTTTGCTATGGTAACTTCTCCTTTTCCACAATACTTCCATGTCAGAAGCATTTTTAGAAAAAATGTAATTTATGAAGTGCTGATGTCACTACAGATTAGTGAGTACCAAACACTGTGTATCTTAATACAACTCACAGGATGCACTTTGAAACGGAGCTGACCAGACTAGTACCCACTTTCCGGCAGCGAGATGACGCACGTAGTTCTGCATACTACTGGCTGGCTGGCTCAGGAACATTACTGATTGTATTATATGCATTAATGCAATTTAGCATTTGTGTGGGACATCATCTGCCCTTCATATTTAATCCACAGAAATCTCTCAAACTCTCCAGAATAACTGCAGTCGTAGAAGTCTAGCAGCACGCGTACCGAAAGCAAGCAGAGCACGCGTTCACAGTGCTGTTGCTGGGCATTATGCTCGCCTTGTAGTTTAATCCACTGCCTTTGCCACATCTGCTGCTTCTCATTTAAAGCTCTTTATTTTCCCAGCTAAAGGCTCTTACGACAGCCCTACCCATCCTCATTTCTGCACCTGGTTTGTTGAATGCACTCGGGCTAGAACATGGGAAAATACCAAGGCTATTTTCCTCCTTCCTTTCATTATCACTCCTTGGTTATTTTCCCCATTTCCTACTGTTCCTCGTATAGCCTGAACAAGCCTAGAAAGACCAAGACAGCAACTTAGCCACAAAGTATTAAGAACAAAAACTGACTCCTCTCAACCAAGTGTACCTGCGGTTAGAGCTCTATGAGAATATCTGAGTGTCAGGACCATTCACAAGTTTTCTAGCCTTACAACACGTGCTACGCAACATGGGGACTGAGACCCCGAACATACTTCTGCTTACCCCCACGCTCTAAACCCAGAGCCTGCTCCAAGCCTGCAATTTTAATGTAGCTTCCCAATAGAAGCAGGTAGACACGGCAGAGAAGCCGTATGTACAGAGGCAAGCACTGCACTTACCATTCGGGATGCTCCGAGCAAGAGCCCATCTAACAATTTTAAGCAGATTTTGGCAGAGACTGCTGCCCTGCAGCGGGGCAGCCGAGTAACACGGGAAACACCACCATGCCCCCACAGTTCTAGCTGGAGCGTTGTTCTAAATTCGGTTTGAGCTTTCCTTTATCATGGTTCTGGAACATGAGGGTAACCAACTTCCAAAATCTATGCCTCCATCAAGGGAACAAACACATTCCTGGTTTAACAGATTCCTGAGCTTTTCCAAGCAACTTTTGGCAGTGGTTGGCTTGTGGCAACTGACTTCAAGAATCTTCTGTTTGGAATAAGCTCATTAAAACTTTGTAATGAGATTATGTTGCAAGGCCAGTCAACGATGGCCACGGCTATGCCATGGGTGAAATGTTGTCACGTATACTGATGTCAGAAGATCGTTAGCCAATATTTTTCCTTGAATCCAGACTTGAAGTTTATCAATGACGACTAACCACAAGGCCACGCATAAAATCAGAGTTTCCTTTGGTGTCAGTGGGTGTTACCTCCTTTCTAACACATTTTGCTTTATTAACCCTTTCACAGCAGCTCATCTCATTACATGCCCTGTGCTGGGCTGGCCAGGCTCGCTTAGGGCATTGATCTGATCACCTCCTGCCCAACAGCCTGAGCACTGAGCACTTCCATGGGCCAACCATACTGTCAGTGTCAGGAGGTGGTGGTGGAGGAGCCATCCGCAGGAAGAGGGAGGGCGCTGCCAGGGTGCATTGGGCCTACAGGAAAGCTGGTGAAGGACTGTTTATCAGGGAGTGTAGTGACAGGACAAGGGGTAATGGGTTCAAGCTGAAGGAGGGTCGATTTAGATTGGATGTTAGAAAGAAATTCTTTCCTGTTAGAGTGTTGAGGCACTGGAACAGGCTGCCCAGAGAGGTTGTGGAGGCCCCATCCCTGGAAGTGTTTAAGACCAGGTTGGATGGGGCTTTGGGCAACCTGGTCTAGTGGAGGGTGTCCCTGCCCACAGTAGGGGGGTTGGAACTAGATGATCTTTACGGTCCCTTCCAACCCAAACCATTCTATGATTGCACAGCATGTCCTGCATGCTGCAACACTGCAAACTTGTATTACGAGAAAAATGAAAGGAAAACAACTTTGATAGGAATACAAGATGGATGATTTTTCCTACACAGCTCTGCACTTTTATTGCACTAGTTAGTTTTAGCCTGGAGCAGAAAGGCTGACCAGCTGCAGACACACAGTTCAGGCAGATGCCCAATGCAACAGGTTGGAAACAGACCAAGCAAACACTCCCACCTAATATTTTTCTCTTTTCTGCACAATCAAGGTAAATTTATAGTTATCATCCATATCAGCGGCTCTACTTCCCCTGAACAGGCCATGTCACAAAAAAGCAGATTTTAGAGGAGGTGATGTAATACCTCTGGAAATTCTACTCTTCGCCTGTATATGTTAGCACACAAGTACTGATGTAGAAGAGTCGCTAGGTGAGAGAAAGCAAATGCATTAACCAGAGCAGGCATAAGGAACTACAGTGAACTTCCATGTAAGCAATTCCTCCCCGATCCTGGACCACCCATAAGACTTCACCAACAGCACAAAAAGGCTTTTGCCTAAGAGCAGGTCAATCCTCATCCAGTGGAGCAGCAGGCTCAGCAGTGGGAGATTCCAGAAAGAAGCGAGTTATTTTGTGCTTTGAAACAAAGATCCAGACCCTCCTCTGTGGTCTAGGAGGAGGAAGAGGTCATTTGTGGATACATTTTAAGCACCCCAAATTCCTGAACTGTGAATTTAAATTATTTATGAGCATGACCTTGAACTGAAGTAGCTGTAAACATATGCAATAAATCTTTAAGCATTTCTTCTGCCAGGCAAAGTCCTAAGAAACTCTCAGGTTGCCATCTAAATGGCTATGCTGCAGCAAGGGGGCAATGTTGTAAATTCACAAATAATCCAAGGCATATAGATCAGGGCTCTACTTTTGAGAAGTGTGACAAGGTCCCTATTGCACTTTGCAAGCTGCACACTAGGGACAGATGCGCCATTTTTCACCGTTACCTTCAGGTACAATTGGAAAAGCAAATCATTAGAGATACCTTTTGTTTCGAACTCATGACTGCCTAGGTCACCATCACTAGCCAAAAACCCATGTTACTTTTCTAAACACTTACTTGAAGTCTGAAGACTAGGATCAAACCCACCCGTATTTAACAGCTCCTTAGAGTGCCATGCATGAACCAGACTCAAAAAGAGACTGTAACATTCCATGAAGACTTCCCGGCACGGCCTTTCCAGCAGAAGCCTTAAACACACATGCACAGGAATATACTGTCTTAGTTAATAACCTTAGAGCAGACTTCCATAGCAGCAGCTGGTGGTCCCACTTCTGTTTAACTTGCTTATAAGGTTTACCATGTTTACAATGCGGCTTAACAGACAGGAGTAGGTTGCTTAGCATCAACCACCTCAAAGCTATTCTGCTCTCCATATGAGAAAAAGCAAGGGTGTGGTGCTCTCCACCTACTCTATGAATTACCGAGTTACATATTAAAAGATCTACCAATCTAACAGTCTATTTTAAAACCAAATCATGAGTGAAAGATTAAAAAGAAAAATCATGATGAAACAAAGCTATTTGTACCTTGCAAATTTAGTCTCAACACACACCCTGTCATTTGTTTTCTTAACTGATTCAAATGCCACACAGTTACCGATTTGACTCCAGAGCGCTTTACATTAACACGTGGTGTTTGCTACAGGCTGTAATTTCTTACATTTGACTTGAAAAATGCAATCCATATCCCAAATGTAACTCCACTGTGACTTGTTTGAATCTTCTACACCTTATTCACAAGTAGCCTTTCATCTACCAGTACCATGAAAGGGGAGTAGGGGGGGAAGCTACTCTCTCAAAACAGTATTACACAACCAGATGTAAACTACATTAAAAAACCCCTAAATTCCTCTGCTATACATGGCACCAGTGTTACTTCTGGGTTTAATGCTTTGCTGCAATAAAGGTAAGTGAGCTTGTTTAAGCGCTGTTTTCTCAGCGGACATGTATAGCAGAGCACCTGACAGTGAGCATAGCCTGAAAACACAAGAATTGTTGATGGGACCACTGACTACGTATTGCAAGTCAAAACAGACAACAGCTTGCATCATCTACCACAATTTAAATTGCAATGGCTTTTCTTTACTTCCGAGCTTGAAGAAAGGTCGTGCAGATGTACATATCTATCCCCTAACCAGGTCCCCATTACCTTCTTCCTTTCCCCACCCCAAAAAAATTCAGGTGTTGGAAGAGTCAGAAAGAGGCTGTGTGCTTACCCCCGGTAATGGTTAGATCATCTTTAATTCTAGCACCTGAAGTTATACAAGGGTTTGCTTAATAATCAAGTTTCAAAGAACTGTTGGACACATTCAGTAAGGTGACAACTGTGCAATACCACTCAGTATTTCAATATCAGGGAACATACTCTTGAATTGTTTAAACACAATCCACAGAACTCAAAATTAAACAACCATCCACAGTTTAACTAAACAATCAGTTAAAAGTCTTACAGTTTAATAATTCACATAATGGTCAGTCTTTAGTGAGGGATACTGAAATTCATTAAAACACAACACTAGATTTTACTCTATGGGTGTGTTGGGCAGGCACATAATTGGCCATTCTTGGGTACAACCGGAAGAGTAAGGAGAAGTTTACCACAGTTTGGCAAATCCCACATTTTGTCAGTTAAAAGTGAACTGTGAGAATTAAATACTCATCTTTACATATACACAAGTTATGCTGTGAAAGCATATTTGCTTACAAACATATAAAAATACTTGTTAACTAGTTTGATAAGAAAATAATGTATAAAAGTATATAGCAAAAACATTTAATCATCTCTGACAATGGAAAGATCAAATTCATTTTCATATCACATGAAACAAAAACAGCTACAATTTTAGTTTTCCTTAATCCCTTACCCAGAAATACAAAGGAAGACACAATTTGTTTCCAAACAAGTGATGTGAAATTTCTTAATAAGCTGAAATGCCTCAATCCAGAATGAGCTCAGGTATTTGGCCATATCCTAATAGTAGTAGTAATCACCCTGTAGCTGTTCTGGATTCATAAAATAAATACAGTAGACTGTTTTGGCCACTGAAATAAAACTGCAGCATAAATGAGAGATGAAAATTTTTGCTGACAATGAAATTCAGTGTAGGTTTCTTAAGGCTAGCTGAATACTCAAGTCTAATTTAACTGAGGGCAAAAAAAGCCAATCCACCCCCTTTTTTTTTTTTTTAAAAGTATTCTGTGTACTTCAATATAGGTCTCTGAAATAGCTAATGAAACGTCACAAGTAAAAATAAATTAATTCACAAGAGACAACTTATGCATGACTTCAACACCTTGTCCTACACGGTTTTGTTTCATCTCCTTTGCGAATAAAACTCCACAAGGTGCAAGCTCTTAAGAGAGAGAAGGAAGGAACTGTGGTATTAAAGAAGCAGCCTTAGTGTTTTGTTTTGAAGTCTGCCCCAGGATGACAGAGTCTTCTTCAAGAACTATTCTGCCAGCTTCTTGGACTAAGGCTATTCTGGTGACCACTTTTAGGACATGCACATATAAGGCTAGACCAATACCAGAAGTGATGTAAAATGATGGAAAGAAAAAAAAATAATCTGGCAGTTGATAGCTTGGTTCTTGGGATTCTCAGAAAATAACACAATGGCAGCCTTTCTTGTCTTTTTCTTTCCGTGTTGGCTCTGGTGAAGGAGGGCACTCTTGTTCTTGAAATTTCCTGGAAAGAGATAGTTCAAATTAAATTCACAGAATCATTTTCAGTTAAATAAAAATACATACTGTGTTTAAAGTCACTGTTTTTACACTTTTATAGAGGATGGACTTATTTTTGACACTCAAACTACTGATTAAACGAGTGATAGCTTTTTGGTGTTGCTTTTTTCTTTTTTTAAGAAACACCATTTTTTTTCTCTTTACAGAAGGCCAATCTCAGATTTTCTTTATAAGGCTTACCTAGCAGGCAATCAATAAAATCTGAGAGACTAAGGTGAAGAAATTCTCTTTCAAATACATATTACATTAATGGAAACTTTTTTCCTAATACACAAAAATATTTTGTAACAGAGAGCACTGGTTGAAGTTTACAGGTAACAACAGGCAGAATTTTCTCAGCAATCTCCTACTACATTTCAATACATTTGCTGTAACATAGGGGCGTTAATTATCTGGTCTTAAGTTATCATACCTTATAACTCTGACAAGTTCATGAAAAGCTTGGTCTACATTCAATCTGATTTTTGCAGAGGCTTCCATGTACGTTACTTTAAGTTGCCGTGCTAGCTGCTGACCTTCCTCTTGTGTCACCTGTAACAGACATCAATCATTAAGTTCAAGGCTTCTGCAGGCATGTTCATATCAGCAGATGCTGCAAATGCATGTTAAGGGTCTATTTCCCCTCAAATAATAATGCTTATTTGGCCACAGAATAGTTCCCACACTGTCCACATAATACAACTGGAAAATAAATCCACGTAATACATCTTTTCAAATGCAAGTGAAGAATTATTTTTTTTTAAGTTTCTGCAACAAAGACTAACCCTCTAAGGAATTTCCCTCACTGCAGCTGTCTCGTCTTCATTTCTGCGTAATAAAGACCAAGTTTTCTTTCATAAGCAGACAAGAGCGCCCCATTCCTCCTCAAATCAAGTGCGTCAGTCAACATCTGCTGGATTACAAACTGTGAATGCTATTGCTAAATTCAACTTCTCCCTCTCCTAGCTAAATCTGGAGAAAAAAAAAATCAGATTATTACTTTTAAAATAACAACTGATGTTTAGCTTCTGAATCTTTGGAAGAGTCATTAAAAATCTATTTATGACACAGCAAAATATTAATGCAGCCAGTTTTAAACATAGCTTAAATTACAAAGATCTAAAAATCCAGGAAGCCTTCAAGCTATCCAGAAATATGAAAGAAATCCTGTCTACCTCTTGACTCCTTGGGACAACAGAGGAAAGGGGAATGAAGAGGAAATAATGAGCGTCATGAAGAGTTGGTATAAATTTTAAAGTGATGAAGCAGAAGGCAGGAAGCCAGTGGACCATTATAGGAAGGAGGAATAAGTTGGTCACAGAGCAAAACCAAGGGAGATCACTGCATGGTTTTGGGTGAGGTAGAAAGCAGCGAGGTCAGACAACAGAAGGCCACCCTGAGCAGGGCAAGGCACGAGAGGCTTCCACGGGAAGGTCAGCCCTAGGGCCGGGGAGGAAAGGGCAGCTTTCAGTGATAAAAGGAAGTACAACACATCTTGCCAAGACAATGGCTAGTGGAAGAAGTGTCAAAGATTACACTGCTTTCACATAAAAACATTAAACCAGCATGTAGAGGACTGACACGATAAGAACAAAAAAAATAAATTTTTAATTTAGTTTTGAAACGGCACTTGGATATTCACTTAGATTAAGCAGCTACACAGATATGGAAATAGATGGGAATAGAAAAGCATCACTGGGGGCATTCAGCACAGTGCAAGATACAGAAGTACTTTTTAGCTTGCAAAATACTTGCTTAACAGCTACACATGCTGTTTGAGAGCCTTCATGCACAGCACCTCAGTAAGTTTGATTCCTCTGTCCTTACTTAGCACCCTCCCTGGTATTATATTCATACATATACTGCTGGATTGAGGGCTGCTCCCACTAAACCCTCATGAAGCGCTACAAGGAGCCCCCAGCACCTCGTGCCATTAGCTGGAGTAACCCAGGATTCATCTGCTGATCTCAAACACTCACAGAAACTCTACGTTTAGTTCTGCTGAAGCAAAAAAAAAAAAAAAAAAAGACACCCCAAAAAACAACCCGACCTCAAGATAAACTACCAGAGCTGCATTTTTAACTGCAGAACATGAAGTGAGACTGACTGTGATCTTTTGGTCCTACATGGGTGTCTGAAAACTGGATGATATTCAAGATTTTTGCTCCACCAGCTAGAGCAAACCCACTTCCACCTTCCAGCCCCAGTTGTTGGAATATCCTTACTCCAAAGCTTATGAAGGCTACATTGAGACTGTTTTCTAGTATGTTGATGACATTGCAGAATCCCCGAGAGTTTGCATAAGGATCTCGAGAACTTTTTATGTATCTCTGCTTCATTCACCAGACAAAAGCAAGTTAAAGTACAGATATGGCAGTTTTGCAAAGCCAACCCCCCACTCTTTTCTTCACCCTGGCATAGTCTACCATAGACCCAGAAAGTGAGGGACTGAAGTCTAATAAAAATAACTGGAAAGAAATGTGTAGTCCTGAGGAAAAACTGAGCCCAGTCTTTAGAAGCATGTGGTTACTACTTTCTTCATTATTTTATCCAAAGCACATTAGAAGTACAAGTCAAACTAACACTGTAATAAAGTTAAGCTACACTTCCATAGTATTCTGCATTTTAAAAGTTATAGATTCAACATTAAAGTCCTTATTACATTTGCTAGAAGACCTGTAATTGCTTAATTCCAAATTAATCTTTTTGTCAATCTTACAAGTATATTGTCAAGTAGCTTGTAGTCAATTTTAGTGACCAAAGTCAGTTTAAAAAAAAATACTTGATTTTGGGCACACAATGGAAGTGTCCATGATGTAAATTAGAGGCCAGAGCATACCAGTTCCATTTTCATAGCCGAGGGAAGTGTAGTAAGTACAAACACAGAAATACTTGGGGAAAAAAAAAAACAAAACCAAGTTTACATCTTCATGTTCTCCCTTTCTCCCTCCTGAAGTAGGACAAACCTGTGCCACGTACAGACTTTTCAGTAAGTGTGACAGGAGATCTTATTGAAGTCACCAGCAAAATACAAACATCCTTCTTTTTCTTCAAAGAACACTATATTTTATTTTGACAGAAGTAGAGAGCGCCACAGATATTCTGGTAGTAACTGTGTGTACACACATGTGTGTGTGTTGATTCTACAGTGAAGATATCTTAGTTTCAGTGAGCTTAAAGCTGAATATGAATAGGAATCACTTACAATGTTTATTTTTTGTTTTAAGATATTGTACTGTTTGGTTATGGATATCATTCATTCACGCTGGTCAGTATTTGGCAAAAGTTTCTCAAATTAAACACCATTATAGAAGATATAAGTGAGCAAGTCAAACCTGGAAAAGCTTATTCTCCAACTTCCTAAGTAACACTCCTCTTACTGAAATAGTTTCCATCTGAGCATCTGCACAAGAATCCTGTGAATGTCTCTCACACGGCCCTCCCTCTTCACTATTTTATCTGAGAACTGTCAGAAATATATTAATTTCTGAAGTTTCTACTCTTTCCTCCACCTAAAGAAACTCTACAAGGCTGCCTAACCTAACACTGCATCTGTATTTTGCCTGGATACGTGGCCCCTAGTCTGTGTAAGTTATACTTGTGCTAGCAGGTAACAGGTTAAGTGCTTCCTCTGGTCTGAGAGGAATCCATTTCTACTTCCATATGGTCATCCCATGGTGCTCCTGCACAGAGCCATTGCCCATTCCTGCAGAGCACCCCATCACTCCCCTTAAGAGCGCATCTGTCATCCTGATTTTCTGTTTCACCAGCCCACGCATGAGTGCTGCTAGTTCACGCTTACAGGGAGCTACCGTAATGCTTTCCTGTAGGGGTAGTTCACTCTCCACTAATTCTATTTTGTCCATCTAGTCATATAAAAGGTCGCTTTGGTACACACAAACTGCAGTTATGAAGCACTGGCATATATTCAAACAGATTGACTTGCTGTATTCAGATAACCAGCAACAAGGCATCTGATGTGGTATCTATAAAGCTCAAAATCAGGCAAGCCATGGGAAGACCTGAAGGTATGATCCATCTTGTGAGAACAGAAGCATCACTGTACAGGGCTATAAAGTCTACTACCTCAAGAAGTTATTATCACACTTTCATGCAGAGTTCACAATAGCTACGAAAAAAGCCAAAACAAAATGTTAATAGAATTTGGGTAGGTCACTACCCAGGTCCCTGTACCTGTTCCCCCCCTGGAATAAGTCATCTCAGGCCAAGCTGTTAGTGAAGCAACAAGTCTGCAAAACCAACATATTAACTGCTTGTTTGCCAGCATCTAGGCTGATGCTGATCAAGGTCAAAGCATGAGGCTGCTTGCCTGAGATCATCAGCTTTGCTCATCATTTGTCTATGCATAAACTGAAGTCACATGGACCTCTTTAAACCTTGCTTTAAATGTATCTAGCAATGCAGATGACCTTAGCACTAGGTCATTGTATAGTTCAGTCATGATGCAAAAGCAAAAACTAACATTTAACGAAACCCAAGCACTTTCCTGTTGCAACCTGGATTTTCCTTGAAGCCCTATTATCTGGGGAACAATCAGACTTGACCCAGTTGAAGCTAGCAGTGATCTACAAAAAGTCATATGTACCCTGCACTGACAAGTCTACTCCTCCGTCAGCAGTGGTTATTTCTAAAACATCTGGTGCTCTGCTGAATTGTCTTACTGTAGAAACATCCAGTGTTGTTTGAGTTGTACGGACTTAACCCATTTGAGAGGGCTGCTACACAGCATTTACTTTAAGGAAAGAGCAATGAGAGATGGTGCTTCAATTTTGGTTTCACAGTCACCAATCTGTAACTGATTGGGAAATCTGGAAACACTGGTAATTTTACTCCTTATCACACAAGAACATTCTAAAGGTTAATGTTTGCTCATTCTCTAATAACTCATTTTTCTTCATCAACCTAACATGTAGATATTAAAGACTTTGCCTCCCATACCACAGAAGTCACAAAATTACAGTAAGTCTGCTTAACTCTATCTATAGAATTATTACCATAGCAAATTGCTATTCTAAACTTTCTCTTTCACCTCTCCTTCCAAAAACACCTGTGAGTTGACCTATAGTATATTATAGCCACCACTATTTTAGACTACACCTTTGGTATGCTCCTAACACTTCAGGATCATACTATCATCTGTGCACTTCTGCTGTACAACCCAGTTCACGTTTCCCAAGAAACAGTTGCCACTGTAGGATTATTAGTTATGCATCATTTGCTTCCAAATTTATGCTATCATGATGATAGCAGTCTGCACTATGTTCAACTACAAAATACAGTTACTTGCATAAGGGTGTGGTCAGACCCTTGAGACATCTAAAACTTTTGTACAAGTTGAACTCTTTTGAGGTCCAGGAAGATTTGTGTGTTAATTCTATTGAGTATCATTTGCCGATCAAAACACACACTAAATTACTTCAACTTACTTTTATGGTCTCAGAGGTAGCATGTGTTCTTTATTATTTCACTGAGTTGCCTCCTGTCTTTCAGGAAAAGAAAGCAGATGACTAGTACAAGCAGTTTTGCTCTAAAAACCCATACCCAACTTCCTGAATTTCTATAAACGCTGAAGCTGAAAAATGTACATTTGTGATTAAACAAGTTTAAAAGAGCAAGACGACTTCTTGTAGACCTGCCAGATAAGAAAGCAGACCGCAGTGTGACACACTAGCCTGGCTGACCAGGTTTACAGAGTAACTCAAGCGACATTTGACACATCAGCAGACTGAAAATGCAGAAATGCAGAGGACTAGCACTTCTCACGTTTTTGCCTGCAAGTTACAGCCTGGGGATGCCCCACACTCGCCACTCGCCCCAGCACTCCTGACCGAGGTGAGGGAGTGCTCTTGCCTTTGTTCCCAGACCTCCCATCACGGCTGCCTGTGCAGCAAACCTGTAGCCAAAGCAGGATGACCTTGCTTGTCAGGCTGGAGTTTTTCCACCCTTAGGGAAATGTGGCGGCAGGACTAGTTTTCAGCCAGATCAGCAAGCTGGTCCAACTCACTGACTGGATGCCTGCATCAAGAGTTCACATGATAGAGCAGAATCAACCCCACCAACAAGCAGAGACTGGTTACATTTAACATCCAGCTGATAACATCTAACTGCTTGCTGCTGCCAAAAGACAAAGTCTCACTTTCTTCCCCCCACCCCAACTCCTCCCTGCTCTGAGCCACAGTCCCACCCCTTCCCATGCTTCGAGCGCTGGCACTCAATCTTTCTGCAAGCTGATTTAACTCTCACAGGCCCCAGAAAGCCATTCCAGCTCGTCTGTTTTTCTCCCCATCTAGAGAGATGATTCAACTCACAGAAGTGCTTCAAGTGAGAGCTAGCGCCAGCAAAGGGAAGAGCAGGAATGTGAAGTCAAGAGGGAGGAGAGCCTCTCCCTTCTGGGGACTATGTCAGCTCAGCATCCCCAAACCATTCCTTCAGAGTGACTTAAGGCCAATTGAAAACACACCATGTGACAGGGAAGGGGCAGGGAAGAGTTAAGAACATATAACTAGCTGTTTCAGCAAACTTAGATGTGCTATATCAGCTACATCAACGAAGGCTGTCCAAGCCCCAACTTACGATGGAAGTCACGAATCTATCAATTTGCAAGTAAACTGCATGAGTGATACCACCAAAAGTTATGCTTGTCAGCATCTAATCAATTAGGGTAATTAACATAGCCATAAAAAGCAAAAGAAGCTTTTGGGGACATATGCTTTGTGTTCAGATATAAGCAGCAAAATTGAAGTTAAGCAATTTGAACACAGCTGCTTTGAGCTTGAATGCGTACCAGCCCATTACCATCTGAAAAAGCATCTAGGAATCACATATGGAGGGACCAGCAGAACAGGTGACAGACGCCTCTCCCTTTAAAGGGGAGGCAGACATGGTGTAACGAGAGAGAGCAAAGTTTGTACCTGTTTCTAGAATGATCTATAGGATTATCATCTACATTTGCAGGCATCCCCTGAGAACTGCGGCTGACAGCGATGATGCTATTCCCCTCCCAAAGCACCTGGATATTTGTCCTTTAGCAATTACGGGTTGCACAACAGTTCGGTTTCACCTACATGGTTTCCATGCCAACATTTGTGCATAAGAACATACGTTATGCTCCAGGAACTGCAAGATTAAGTTTGGGAATTTTGCTGAGGACATAACGGAAACTGAAGAGTCAAAGAGTTTCACTGCTGTCTCAGGGATGGGCTGATAGTTCTGTGCACTTGTGAGTATACGAAGTTACTTCTGGATGAGTTTGAGAGCTACTTCTGTGAAAACTTCTTTTAAGACATTATCTTTCAGCATAGGTTTTAATTTTGTCATGACCCTTCTACCAGAATCTGGGGTAAAGAGGCTGTGAATAAAGGGACCACACTCAATAAGAACTTTTTTGTACTGAAGGTTTATGCAGTATTCAAGAAATTCATTCAACAACAACATACTAACCCACTAAACTCTCGTGTTCTTTGCTTTGAGCCTGATTTTCTTCTTGTTCCAGCCACTGTTTTTTGACAGAGAAAGTATTTCATTTAGCAAAGATCAAAACCTGTGTAAGCACTTGCAGACAGAAACTAAGTCACATCCTGCTACACAAATCCGAGAATATCTTACCGTTTAAAGCTGTGTTTTCCCTGTGAAACTCTTAGTTATTAGAGCTGTTTTGATAATATTTAGTTTACTCTCAGATAAAAGTCAATCATGTGTTTGCTACCAAACTTTAAGAGTCACCTTACTGTCTCAGGAAAGAATACTAAACTTATGAAACAGGTTACTGAAGAAGAATATAAGTTTGAGGCCTGTTCCTTCCCTGCTGATGTAGTAAGATTATTCTCATTTCAGGTCAAACCGTTTGATGAATATCAAGAGTAAATAGGAAAAACAAATTTAAAGCTCCTTCTTTAAATCATTCTAAACTAAATCTTTTAAGCTCTCTTACAACTAGAGGAGAGATTGAACTCTACTAGTTTCAAAACTTTAAAGGTACATAAATACAACCGTAATTAAGTTGCTGTACTTCCAACTTTTAAAGCTTTAAGTCAGTTACGCAGAAGCTAAGTGGCCAGAAAGAAAACGGCAAATGGCTACTCATTTATACGTAACAGCAGTGAATGGTAAAAGCAAGAGCACTGAAGTCTTAGGATCATTAGAGCCAGTACTGCAATGCACTCTGCTTGGCACAGCACGCTATGGTGAGTAACGAAACAGAGGAATTAGACACGTTCATGCCTGAGTAATCAAGTCATGACAGAAAGCTCTCAACTCTGTATGTGAACAGATTTGGTCTCAACATAACCCCACTGAGTCAGATGTGCTGTACGGAATGCCATCATGCTTCTAAGATTCTTCAAGTACAGAAACTGAGTGTAGCTGTATTTCTTGCATTAGAATTTGTTAGTATGTAATTATTTTTTTTCCATTTGTTTCTTGTTCTCATTCTATTTTTGGGAGGAAAATGGTGAAGTTGCTAGAAGAAAGTGAGCAGTAACTAACAGCAAATGAATTACCTGTCTTTGGTGGTCCAGATCTGCTTTATTACCGACTAGAATCATAGGAAACTCATCGCGATCTTTCACTCTAAGAATTTGTCGCTGAAACTTATAGATTTCTTCAAAACTGTAAAAGAATAAAGTAGAGCATCAGTGTATTAATTCATAGATCATCGGGTTCTGCAGAAGTTCAGAAACGATGAGTCACCTATTCGGACTTACCCTGCCGTGCCACACAAGCAGACAGCTGCAGGCACTCCACCAAAGAGTCCACTGTCACAGCATGAGCAGTTAGAGAATCATTCACCACTCAACCCAAAAAAAAATCCTCAAGTTAGCAGTGTGCTATGCACTGGGCTTAGGTGGGGCTGCAGGGTAAGCAAAACACTCACTGCGTTTTGATCCGGAGGGACTTGGATGCCAGCACGCTGCAGAGAATCAAGCAACCACAGTCCATTCTACAAATACTGACTTTGGAGTTCAACTGGCTAGAATAGTCAAACTATGGTCTAGAGACCCTGGTGATCAATATTTCAGCTGGCAACCTCCACAGCTACTTCTAGGAATTTTGGGGGAAGCTATCACAGCTGGAAAATTTTATTTCTCTAAGAACAGAAAACTGGCAGAGCTAAATGATCAGGGAGCTTTCCAGTTAACAACTAAGTTATATCAGGTACTGATGCTGTTCAAGCAGTAAGGAATATTCCACCTTAAGGGAAGGTAAGCAAAGCAGAAAGCTTCTCCAAGGACAGTGTATTAAATAAGCTAATTCTGGCCTAAACAAGGATTTTTGGAGGAAAAAAATCACTGCTTTCAAGTAAAGACTGTTAAAGCAACATAAGGAGCTTCAGCACAGATGCTTGCAGACAATCACATATCCTTCATAGCACATACTTCCCAAGCACTGTACTGAATTCCAGGCATATAGTCTGAAGCCATTTACATGTAGATTTGCAAACTAAAATCTAAAAGCAAGATGATCATCAGTAAGAAAGTTGCATTAAAGAAAAATAATTACGTAGTCAGACATGACAATGCCAATCCACCTCATCCATGTAAAGCAATTATAAGAAGGCAAATTAGAAGGGAGGCATGCCACTAAGCATACTTGGACCTCCATTTAGATATGCTGGTTTACTACTCTGCTCAGAAGTCTGTAGCAACTGGAGGAAGAGAGTTTAAGTTACCAAGTCATTTAGATTTCTTCTTGCTTCAATTACTTTCCACCACTCAAGCAGGACAGACACTGCTAGCAGAAACTTTGTTCACAGGCAAGTTAAGTCTTGAATCAAATGGATATCAGAA